GATGAATAACAGACATTTTTTGTATTATTGATCTTTTCCCGGTACTTTCTTGACAGAGTAGTACTTAGCACCAGCGTGTATAAGGCACTAGCTGTTGTCTGTTATTTGAAACGTTAAAATGTGTAGTCTATTTCAAGGACTAAAACATAACCAGCATATTTATTATAACACCATAAAGACGTCTTCTTGTTTTATAATAAGTTTTTACTGCGCTCTGTGATGGAATGTTAACAGCAGAAAAAATACCTATTAAACTTTAAAGAATGTTTGACTAAAATAATATAATTAAAACAACGAGAGATACTCTTACTAACAATCATTTATTATACTTTACAAAAGTTACAAAACTGTAAATTTACCGGTAAATTTCGTTCGTAAAAAAAGTAGGTATCAAAGTCCGTAAGAGTAGCAGTTGTTGTCAATTCAAAGGATTAGGTAACCAAAAGTCCACCAAACAAAATCCAAGTCGTCAATTAAACCAACAAATTAACACGAGTGCGCACAGTATGAAGCCGAAACAACGTGTGAGATAGATAGATCACCAACGCGCTCGCCCCTCTTCTACCTGCTTCCCTGCCCCTCTACCCGCTCACGTATTTTCGGGTTACCTGTCGCTAAGAGCGGAGGATCACACACAAACAGACAGGATTTTTGTTTAATTTCATTTTCTTTCATTTGATAGTAGGTACCTAAGAATAATAAGAACGTTATTACTGCAACATGAACATAAACAAAGTTAGATTAGCTCTAACTTGTAGTAATAGTTCTTAAATAGTACGTACTATATGATATGTACATAATCTACACATTACTTATTTGTTACATGTGTTAAATATGAAAAAACCCGAATATTTTCCCATTCGGGAATTTTCCCCGGGTTTTTTCCCGGTTTTTTCCCACATTCGGGTTTTTTCCGGGTAAAATCCCATCTCTAGTCTCCAATACACTGTTATTGATTATAGTGCCACTGTCTGAATTAACATCATAAGTCAAGTTGACATAACCAGACTAAATAAAGACATGGTTGCCATTTAAGAAAAAAATAAACAATTCAAATAATTATTCTATCTCAATTATGCACTTTTATCAACGCAAAACCAGCTTTTCGTATCCACTGATTATGGACCAATGGAATAACATGTCTGGCAAAAAGCAGGCCCTATAAATAATAACTATGACATTATTGACTAAATAGCCAGAAGTGGATATATCAAAAACTATCCTATCGCAACATTTTAAGCAAACCAGAGTCTTGTTAACACCTACATAAAGTTTATTTTTATAACAGCAGAGTTTAGGCAGTACAACAGAAATGAATGAACATAATTCACAAAGACCAGAATTATTTCTAAGTGGTGTAAAAATATAATGAGACTTCATACGCAGGGTTCAAACGGAAAAGTTTCTTGGAATGAAGGAATAAAGGTCGTTTTCCTTATAAAACGACGTTCAAGAAGTACATGGCTATTTAAAATATTCTAATATAATACACAGATGACAATTAACCCTGTATTGTTCTGAAGTGTAGGTTTTATTAAAATATCATAATTTATATAACTACATAAATATTTACAACTTAAAATTAACTACAACTAAACTATTAAATAAAAAGAAAGTAAAAGAAAACAACAAAAATTATACCCTTAATTTAGGCGTCAAAGTATTCGTCCGCATCACTATCACAGGGGAAAGTACCCAGAAGACTGGCAGCATTGCCACGTTGAATGGCAATGCTTATTTTCTGTCCGAAGAAAAAGCTAGCCCTCTGGTCACGTGTAGAGGCGATTAGCCTACGGGCGATGTCTTTAAACACAGAGTGTGCACTGGGACCCCATGGCCCAAGTGTTTCGACCCCAAACGGCTCAAAACAGAAGTTACCCACTAGATTTGAAATGATGACAATAGCTTACCAAACTTGATTAAAAAAAACGATATAGTTACTATTTCTATAGCATTAGGTATTTTGTAAGATCATACCTCACACTGATATTGTCCTTTATGTTATATGTGTGTACATAAACAGATGATATGTGTGTACATACTGCACGGTTGGTGCGGTGGCTGGGCAACCGGCTGCCGTGCAACGTGTCACGGGTTCGTTTCCCGCACGGAACAACACTTTGTGTGATCCACAAATTGTTGTTTCGGGTCTGGGTGTTATTGTGTCTGTGAACTTGTATATTTGTAAACGCGCCCACGACACTGGAGAAAACACTAGTGTGGGGCAACGTTTTTTTTAAAAATAATAATAAATAAATAATAAAATAATATTATAATTGTGAAAGTTTATTTGTTTGGATGTTGGTCCGTCAATCACGCTGTAACTTCTAAATGTATATGATATATAGGCAGGGCACGTGCTGACTTAGGTGATAGGGTACTTTGTATTTTTGTATCCCAATTAAATGCTCCCATTGGATTAAACAGGAATCATATTCTACGTAGACGAAGT